CAAACGGGCCCCTCCCATCCCCCCCAGCACAGCCCCTCTGTCGGGGGAGGGGGGGTGGCGTAGGCCTGGCCCTTCCAGCGTTACTCCACCTGGGGAATTCCCAGCAGGCCACGTGAGGCTGCTCTGCAAGCCCAGAGGAGCTCAAAGCAGCCTCATCGCTGGTGATATCAAGGCCCAGGTCTGACCCCAGCACCTCAGACAGTGAGATGGGGAAAACGTCCCCTCTGCCCTTCTCTAGGGGAACAAAGGATTTGCAGAGCCCGGGCCGGTAAACCAGCACCTCGATGAGTGTCCCAGCTCGCTCCCCACGGCCAACTTCATGGGCCTTGACTCCAAAGCAGGAGCCCCTGAATCGCAGAACTCCCTCCCTCCCTCCCGGCAGGTGACATGAATAACGGCTGCTTTCTTCTGCCCCGGCAGGTGAGATCCCGCTCCAACTTGCAGAGGAGCATCGTGCCGAGGAGGGGGGCGAGGGCCCAGGCCCCCCCAGGGCGGTTTGTGCAACGTCCAAAGGGACCGTGGTCCAGAGCCCCGGCGAGGGCCCTGCGGCTCGGCAGAGAAGCGTCCTGGGACAGTCGGCTCAGGGCAAGAGGGGCATTGGGGAGCTCCGAGCGGCCGGGGGCCAGCAGAGAGCCGTGGGGGGCGAGCGGCCCGGCCCGTGTCCCGAGCGTGGGAAGTGCTTGGGGCAGAAGCAGTCGCTGCTAAGCCCCAAGAAGAGCCTGTTGGCGGAGAAGCCCGCCAAGTGCAGGGAATGCGGCAAGAGCGTCGGCCGGATTCAGTGCTGCCTCCAGCACCAGCACATGCCCCCGGGCAAGCTGCCCTTCACCTGCGCCGAGTGCCGGAAGCGCTTCCGCAAGAAGCGGCCCCTGCTCTTCCCCCCCGAGCCCCACATGGCCGAGCAGCCCTTCTCCTGCCCCGCCTGCGGCAAGGCCTTCAGCCAGCGGGACACGCTCCTGGCTCACCAGAAGACCCACCTCTGAGAGCACAAGTACCTGTGAGCTGCCTGCGGCCAGGGCTTTGTCCCCGAGGAGTAAACGCAGCACCAGTGGGCGCACGCCATGGGGGGCTGCCCCGCCGGTGCCACCTGGCCACGCACCAGTGGGTCCCTCCAAGGGCACTCAGTGTGGGGGACTTTGCCCGCCAGGACAGCCTGGCACAGCACCAGAGGACTCGTCTCCTGCCGAGGGCACCGCGGGGCTGGCAGCGGGGAGCCAGGGCCTCTCAGGCTGCACCGGTCTGAGCTGGGCTTGGCGAGCCAGCCCCCTACTGTACCCACGTGACACGTGTTCCATCCCTCCCGGGTGCCAGCCGGCCCTGGGCCAGGCGAGGCAGAGACCCTCCAGGAATAGAGTCCCTGGGGAGGGGTTTGCTGCCCACCCGAGCCCTGCAGAGAAACCATTGGTGCAGAGTGCGGGGACAGGGCTTCCCCCAGCTCCGTGGTGGGGAACGTGTCGGGTTGGAGCACTACCGGGGCCAGCACCTGCTGGGAGGAGCAGCTGCCGCTCCTAAGCACGGGGAAGGATAAACGACACTGAGAATCCGGGCAGGAGGCGTCGCTCGCTGTGGGAACAGCCTCAGTCACACCCCACAAGCCAGCCGGGCTGGTGCATTTGGGTCCCTTTGCGCACCCCTGTGTTCGGGCAGCATGAAGGGGGCAGAAAGCAGCCAGGTCGGGCCAGCTGAGATCCCCGGGCACGGGGGAGCTCTCACCTTGTGCACCTGTCTCCCGTGCCACCCTGGCCACCCAAACCTGTACAGGGGCCTCGGCCAAAGTGCCTGGTGCTCCAGCTCTCCCCACTTTGCCCTGAGCGCCGTGAGCCCTCCACACCTCTGCCTATCCCCCGGGCTGGGGGTTTGGCGCGTGTGGAAGATGCCAGGTTAAGCAGGGCTGGACAGTGACAGTGTCCGTCCCCAGAGCAGGCCCGGCATGTGTAGTGACCATGCCAGTGTCCCCACCAGGCTCTTCCGTTCTGGGGTGGCTGGGCCGCTCCTAACCCCAGAGACTCCAGTGGGGGTCTGGGTCGCACGCTCTGCCTGTTGGTAACTGGACGGTCTGACCAATGGGCTCCAACCACGTCTGATGATAACGACGCTTGGCCGGTACTGACCTGGGGCCAGGTCACAGGTATAAAGCTCTGTCCTTTGTGACCAGTCCTCCCTGCTCCCAGCCAATTGGCTGCTCCGATGTCATTGAGACACGAGATCACAGACCGTGGAGAGCAACCGCGTGGCGTGCACCGAGTGTGGGGAAAAGCTCCCGCTATGAGCATCTCCCGGTTAGCTGCCGAGAGTCACAGCAGGACCTGCTCCTCCTCAGGGACGGGCCCCTGGGCCTGCAGCAGGGAATCAAACCTGGGCTCCTCTGTTCCAAAGCAGAACAGGACTGTTCTGGTTTGATGGTAGAAATATCGAAACAGCCCAGGAATGTAACTCTCGGCGCTGGGAGAACTCAGAGGGTGTAGTTCTCCGCTGTCCTGCACCCTGTGCAGTCTTTTCCCCGTGCAAAGTGGGTGCAGAATGCTTCTGTATCAGCCGGCTGCAGCCTCCCCCTCGGGGCCAGTGTCACTGAGAGCAGAGGGTGCCAGGCCGTGGGGACACAGGCCCAGAGTTGCAGTCCTGGCCGGTTCTCCAGCGAGGACAGCTAGGTTGGGATTGTCAGAACCGCCTTTGGGAATTAGGTGCCTAAATTCCATTCCGAGTCAATGGGAGCTGGACACCGAGGTCCCTTAGGTGACTTCAAAAAATCCCAGCCGGAGCCTTGGAGCTTAACTCGTTTCTAGACAGTTAGGGTTGGAGTGAGAGAAATCTTTGATGCCGCTGGTTCGAGTCCACGTTCCTGCTTACGGGAAGTGGAAACATACACAGTGAAATGTCAAAATAAGCTGGGGGGGGGGGTTAAATGATTTTCAAAATGCTGCTTTTGGCTGCCTGTCTTCTCTGACCTCCCCAGCTCAGCCTGTTACCAGCCCTGGGTGGGCTTCTCCTTTTCCGCCTGGGCTCACACAGTGCGGTACAGTATTTATTCTGCATCACAGAGCTGGGCTGCTGAGGTTTGTCTTTAGTTTCAATGGAGAGGCTGTGGGAACTGACACCAACACCCACAATACACAGGGTTTCCTTTTCAGGAGGGGCCAGGGGAAGAGAATCCCCTTCCCATGATCTCCAGGGTCAATGAGCTGCTGTAAACCTGTCTGCTCCAGAAACATGTAAAGAGCAGCTTGGTAGAAATGGGGGTTTTCTAAAGTCTGTAAATAAAATTGTACCAGCTCATTCCATGGGCCTTGGCTCCTTTCTGTCCTGCGGCAGAGGGGAGAAGAGTGTTTTGGTCTCTAAATAACAGAGGGGGGAGTGTACAGTTTGCTTCAGATATTCAGACAAACTCCAGCCCTGCCATATGCAGGTGGAACCCCCCAAATTCTGTGGCCCACTGTCTGTGGCCATCTGAAACAGACAGGTACCGATAGCCCCTATTAGTGCCAGGACAGGAGTGGGAACTGGATCCACTTTGCACCCACAAAAATGGAGGTGGGGTGGGTTGAGGCCTTGTAACTCGAACCCTAACCAAGAGAAGGGGCTGTGCCCACCCAAAGCATCCGCGGGCCTGGGTGCAGCACCTAGGAGGAAAAGCGGGAATGTAGGAGCAAAGGGCAGAGTCTGTGATGGTCTGTCCAAGAGGAGGTGATCATGGTAGCCTGTGGGTCAGCTTGATTGGCATGAGCCTGCGCTGGGCGACCAGGCGGCCAAGGAGGGGAGCACTTTCAAGGAGAAGCTATTTTTCTGCCCTGCTGCGGTTACTTGCTCCTGTTCGAGTGCAGTAACACGCTCCGGAGTGGGCAGCTGGATCTCAGCCCAGCCTTTTTTAGATGCTGCGTTTCAGAGGGCAGGAAACAGCCACCACCTTTAGCCTGCTAGGGCACAGTGCGGCTCAGCACTATGTCTAGCCCGTAGCAGTGTGTTTTGTGTTGTCACTGCATAGCTACGCAGCATCACAATCTAGGCTCTTGCAGGCAGCCGGGAAAACTAGGCCTTGTTTTAGTGTCCACCAGTGAGCTCGGCACTTCCCCGGATAGACAGGTGTCTGCCTCCCAGGAGCGTACAGTGGTGGACTTGGTAGACAAGTGAGGCTCTAACATCCAGTGAATATGTAAGTAAATAAGGAAGTGTTATTTACTCCTTCCCATAACACAAGAACTAGGGGTCACCAAATGAAATGAACAGGCAGCAGGTTTAAAACAAAAGGAAGTATTTTTTCACACAACGCACAGCCTGTGGAACTCCTTGCCAGAGGATATTGTGAAGGCCACGACTATAACAGTTCAAAATAGAACTAGATAAGTTCATGGAGGACAGGTCCATCAATGGCTATTAGTCCAGATGCTCGGGGGGGAACCCCACGCTCTGGGTGCCCCTAAACCTCTGATTGCCGGAAGCGGGGCGTGGAGGGCAGGGGAGGGATCCCTGGAGAATTGCCCGGGTCTGGTCAGTCCCTCGGAAGCAGCTGGCCTGGCCCCAGTCAGACCGGGCCCTACGGCCCCTAGGTCTGACCGGGTGGGGTGCGGGGGGCTGGGTTCCCAGCTCGCTGGGCTGACGAGGCAGCGGGAGCCCAGGAGCGGGGCTGCCCCGCAGGAGTTCCCCCCTCCGGCCCCGGGGGCTTCTGCTGCAGCCCCGCGGGGTCCGCACCAGGGGCAGAGGCGGCCGGGCCGGGGCGGCTGCTGAACCTACCGGCTTCCAGCCACTGAGCCCCGCTGCGGGGTTTGTCACAGCCGAGAACGAGCCGCGCTCAGGGCGGGGACTGGCCCCGGCCCGGCCTGCCACCGCCAGGGGCCGCTGCCGCCCCGCCCCGCTCCTCCCCGCTGCTCCCGGGCCCCGGCAGCCAGGCCGCGGCTCCCTCCCTCCCGGCGGCGCTCGCTCTGCTCCGCCCGGCAGCGGGGCCGGTGTAGCCCCACAAAATGCTCCCCTCCCCTTTTGCTACTGGGAGCGGTTTCTGCCAGGCAGCGTAGCAGTTTGGTAAATTGTTTGTTAAATTGCTACCGCCTGTCCATGGGGTTGCGAATCAGGAGGGGATGGGGTATGGGGACAGCCCCCCCGCTGCGATTTGCCCCCCTTAATCCTTTTAAACCCCCCCAAAGAGGAGGTAGCAAATCGTTAGCAGAAGTAAGGGCAGAGAGAGGGCAGTGGCTACAACGAAGGTTACTGAGCATGCTCAGTTCGACTGAGCATGCTCAGTACACCCAAAGTAGCAAAACGGGAGCGGGAGCATTTTGTGGGGCTACACCGGCCATGGCGAGGCGAGGCGAGGCGGCGCCGGGACTCTGCCCAGCCCGGAGC